GTTTCTCAAACTGTGGGTCGTGACCTCAAGGGGGGCACAACAGGTACAGTGGAGGGTCGCAGATATCCTACCCTGGCGTCAAATGAATGCAAATTACAGGTCGCAGCTCGACATTGAGTGAGAACTGAGACTTCAGAAGTACAATCTACGTCGTCCCTTTGACAAACTGGCTATAATAAACAAGTTCAGTTGAGTCATTTATGAACAATTACTACTGCTGCCACATATGGAATTCCTCGATGGCTTCTGGCTGAGCTCATTCCCTCTGGATGTTAGCGTCAGATGAACAGTAATACGTGTTTTGTGTATTACTGCTCAATGCACTCTAGTTGAAGGGCCTGTGGCATCGCGAAACGCAAGAGGAAGGAGGGAGGGAGGGGGGGGGGGGGTTGTGACATAGAGTTCGGGAATCACTGCAGTATGTAAAAGGGCCTCGAAAACCTCACCAGCCAGCCAGGCTACGCCACCATCAGACTATTACGTAACACGTTACAAGTAATTGATTACATGTAATCGATTATATTTTGCTGTAATTTTCGTAATGTAACCTTTTTGCTGTAATCAAATACAAAAGTATCAGTGTTATTTTATTTTTATTTTTTTACGAAAGGGCAGGTGTGCCACTTAGATCTAAAAAAACAATCCGTTTTTTTTTTTTTTTCATTGCACTAAGAACGCGGTCTCCCGCTTAGTGCTAATGTCTGTTTAGGGGCCTTGTTTCCTGGTACGCACACAGAACCTCTCTTTTACTACCTTCTTTGTGCAAACATCGACAAAGCGATAATCCCCAAATCGAACAAAAGCGACTTTTCGGGGTGCCCTGCGATGCCCCGGATATAGCCATTGTCCGCATTGTAGATTACCATCTGCGCCGAAGATCATACAAAGAAGCCTTGGCAGTGATTGGTGGTGGCAGCTACAAGTTTCAGCTTTTCCTGCGGCTGATGTCTTCACGAGGAAATGCGAGAAAATGACCGACACAAAATTCTAGAGACAACTGCTGTTGAAACTCAACACGGTGTAGAGGACAAAAAAAACAACAACAACAACAACAACAAATAAGTATTGTATAAATACAAAACACCTAACTCCAATGTGTATATGTGATATCGCAATAAAAACGTAAGAACAGTAACGTGAAATGTAATCGATTACGTTTTTGAGGCTGTAATTCTAATTGGTTACTTTTTTCAGTAAACTAATTATAACTAGGGTTCCGCGTTTTCGGGAAATACCGATAAACCCGCTAAATATTCCCCAAGCGGATGACTCGTAATCGGTAAAAGCCGAAAAACTCCGAATTGAAGCCGTCCTTGAACAGGAAACAAAATCCTACTTCAGGGGGAAAAAACCTTTATCTCAGTATTCTTTTTTTCTGGTAACCTCGAACCCAGTCTATACTAATAACTGTCGTCGAGGTAGATATCGAGGCTTTTTGAAAAATAAACCACACCAACTCCTTTTCCGGCAGTAATATTAGACACAGGAAAACACCAATTCAATCGGAAAAACATAAATACTCATACATCACCCCTGAATTCGAAGAAAGATAAATACCGAAAACACGGACCCTAATTATAAAGAACAATTTGCAAAAATATCGTCTGCGCACGAACAGCCCCGCGCAGACTCTGGTTCTATAGTTTTTTTGAGGTTGAAAATACGTGGTTGCGTGCTCGAGCGAAATAAGCCATTGCTACCTCCCCCCTCCCTCCTCCTCTCTCCCCCCCCTCCCCCCCGAGAAGAGAAGATGGATCCCGTTTTTTAAATGCAGTGACCTGTGATTGATTGTTCCCCCACTGTCCTTTTTGTGCACATTTTTACATATTCGGCATGCTCAAAGGACACTAAAACTCCAGACATTCTGCCATCTGCGAACTTGAAAGAGCCCAAAAAGTTCGACAGATTGCGCCAAAAAATGAATAAGGTCTATTGCAATCGAATAATTGTTTTCAGTAACGTGTACAAGACTGGCCCCCGCTGCCGCGATGCATCTAGGAAACTGCGGCCTTTCTGCTCTTGCGACAAGCTGGCTGCGGGTGCAGAGCTTCAGCCAGCTTGCCGCATGTGCCGAACGCCTCGCGAGATCGGTGAATTGATCAGTTTTCCAGTCAGCATCTACCAACTTCGAAATTGAAGAGCCACAAATGCACTAATCAAACAGTCGGGAAGTGAACCGTAAGCACCCTCCCCGTCTTTTTTTTTTTTTTTTTTAAATATATATGGTACAAACACCTTGTATATACATGCTTGAATATGCGATTTTTAAAAAGAGTAAAAATATGTACTCACCACACCAGAAGCAGCGTCATACTTGTTTTTGTACGACCGCTTTGACCAGGCGCCGTCAGCAATGACTGTCACAAGTGGGCAGCCTTCCTCGTCAACGTCGCCGCACTCCCTCGCAAGCCTGGCTTCTTCCCCTCCGGACTTTTTCATGCTTTCCAACGCTGCGGCTTCAACGCCTTGTGCCACAGTCTCCTCACACTTCGCATAGGTCTTGCTGGACATCGACGGTACATTCAACGACGCTAGAAGCTCTGACAGGTTTGAGAACCCGCATCCAATGGAAATAATTAATGAGACTGCAGCAGTGTTCACTCCCATGCATGTCGCCGTTCGAGGAGGCAACTCCGACTCAATGACGGACTTTTTGTTGCACATGTTGCAACGAAACGTGAAGGAACTACGCAGACCGTATTTCTGTTCCGATACGAAGACCATGTCGGCGAGCGTGCAACTGAACGGGGCATGGTCACAGCTTTCCTGCACGGATTGAAAGAAATGCCCAATGTCGACAACGCGACGACCTTCTAACATGGATGTGGCTGCTTGCACTTCACCCGGTGGTTGTGCGTTACCCGAAGCTTCGACAGCACTAGCATTTACAAGGAAGCTCGTTCTAGCCTCTCCTGAGCTCTCGGAAGAACTGACTTCGGCCGCTACGGAACATACCGATCCTCCCTCACCAGGGAGCCTGGGCGCTAAGTCTTCCGCGGTCACCGCTTCAGCGTTGCCGTCGTTGCTGCCGGACACGGAACCATGCGGGCTACCAAACGAGCGCTCAAAATCACCAACCTCATCAACCGAAGCTTCCGCGAGGACACGCTCACTTTGAAACCTTTTCCGGCGAGTACGCTTGCCATAGGCAGGTTGTCTTCGACCCAAAGCTCCAAGGAGAATTTGCCACGTGCGAAAACACGAAACCTATCCACCGAAGCCAGGAAAGCGAGACACGCACACTGACGCCTCGGCGTGCAGAATGAAGCAGGATACGGTTGATAAGGGCGCGGAAGAATACCTTGCGCAGTGCCGATCCGGCCGACCGCCGAACGGACGATTTCGCATTTCGTGGACAGCGAGCGCCACCTGACGGGAGAGAGAGGTACCTTAAAAACAATGAAAACAAGCACCAGTGATCTCTATGACAAGCACCGACACCTTGGTTCTTTATATTCGCTGTAGTTACGCAACAGATCGACTTACATGAATAATTTCGATATTATTCGATTCCGTAATAAATTTAGAAGACACTAAGCAAAATACGCTTTCCGTTTGCAATTAGATAATTTTGTAAATTCGCTCCGAACGCAAGAGTGCCGAATTAGCCGATTTTGACCATTTTCATGATTTTTTAAAGAATATAATTAAATTTATGATGAAACATTTGTTGCGCTTAGTGACTCGATAATGACTCAATGTCTTTAAAGCCGAAATTTTCAAGAAGATCCGCGCAGCCGTTATTATGTGAGAAATTTTTTAATTTGGTGAAAAACCTCATGTATTCTCTATGGGGCTCTGAGGTGCGCCCTCTCTTAACCCTTTTCGTCGTTGGTTTCGAAACATGCATGGGGACATTCGAAAACAGACGTGGCGCGGCACCTTTCTTCACTGACCGTTGGCCCCTGGGGATCAGAACCGTCTGCCCATTAATGACGTGCGAGTAATGACGATCAATGTCATCCGGCTTGAAGTGCAAATCGCACACATAGCTTTTTGGTGTGAGCGTGAACGTTTTTCGGGGGATCGCGTTCTGCCATACCTTCAGGCGCACATCATCTTTCGGAGCGGTAAAGAACTGACGGTTTTGTCACTTTTCGGAGCAAGTATGCATGTCGGCATACTTGCTCATTGATTGATAAACACCGGAAAAAGGCTAGAAGAGGCAACATCCAACTAAGACACGAGCAGGACGAGCACACGAGCGAAGAAACAGGCATTAGCAGCGAGCGGTGCCGAGCCGAGCGTAGATCGTACTGGGACTACAGCGCCCTCTCTCGTGCGCGCTACGAAACGGGACCGCGTCGGGGACACGACTTACTCTATTAGAGTTGGTCGTGGTCGGGGAAGCGAGTTTGCTAACTGAGCCAACTGAGCCCCTCTTGTAACGCTACCTGAGGGTATTGTAGAAGTGTTGAATAGGGGTCATGGGACTGGTTTGGATGATGTGGTTTACATGGAAAGTTGGAGAAACCCGCAAAACTCGACTCGGAAGGTGAATGTTATTAGCAGATGTGAGATTTGGGCAATGAATTAATTCATGAATACATTTATACAAAAAGCATGAAAAAACTGTGAGTGCGCAGGCGAGCTGGTGGGTGTTGATCATAATGTAGAAAACCCGAGACTGTGGTAAAAGCAAGGAAACGGAGTCTAAGAAGAAAGACAGGGGAAAAGAACGTCTCAAGCATGTCCAGCTACCGTTCTCGACAAACATCCAAAATAATATAAACAAAGCTGAACATTTTATTTATTACTGTGATATTATATATTACAATATTATTTTGTGCACTTTGTAGGGTTTAGTGAATTTAATATCACAAAAAGTTGAAACAGTCATCAACGTGATCTGGCAACCACGGTAAAGCTCCGAATCTTTCCAAACCGCTTGAGAGTCGTCTACTCTTCCGAATCTTCCGATTCGGGTCCCATCAAAACTGATTTTACACCAGCTACTACAGTCCTAGAGTCTCATTTTAGATTAACATATTTGTTCCCGAAGGAACTGGGCCGATCCCTGCTGTAGTGCAATACAGGGCCGACCCTGGCAGGTTCCGGGCAAGCCCGGAGTACCCACCTGGCTGCAAAAATAAAGTTAATATCGAGGACCCATATAGGGCCCCTATCAGATATTAAGCTGATAAGAACAGATACTACACATACGATCAAAGCCAGTTGGGCCGAGAAGCGATGCCCAAAAATGATGTCTTTTTTCGAACCCACCTCAGACGCGAAATTGACATACTCGGTGGGGAGGTAAGTGAACAGGAAACTAGCACGCCTCCAATAAAGGGTAAGCCCCGAGTTTTACAAGCATTTGTGTAGAATACGATGTTATTTCGATCTCTTACAGCGAAGTTGAAATGTAGAGAACCGCAGATTGAATATTGAAACTAAAGGAAATTTGCAGGCAAGCAGGTCGAATAATCCTCCGACACGTTCCCACCAAGGGGGTGCCGCCGTTCCGTTTCCAATGTTTTCGAAAGGGCATGACATAATTGGTTTGAAGCCTAGTCATAAAAAATGAGAGGCCTGGCACAAGGGACGTGCCAACAATGTTTTTTTGTTTTATTGCAGGGCAGCTGGGCCAGCTGGGCGGCAAAACGAAAGTGTGTGGCGTCTCGCGTCGCCGTCGTGAGGCTTTGCTGCGAGAGCGACTGCAAAAATCGCACCGTTTGTTCTTCCGTGGGAAGCTTCGTTTTACCGGTAAGGCCCCTGTACATTACATTAGGAACAGTGAGCTAGCCTAATGAATACACTGAAGACACTGGACATATCCTTGGCACATTCCGGCACTGCTTTTACCAACGAGCTTCCAGATGAATAGGACTAACATCCTGCGCAAGCAGCAATCCCAACATCCAAGCACTGGCCATGCCCGATTTTTTGGTAACCTGAAATTGACAGAATTCTCACGGGATAATCTTTCATTAATTAGAGCAATGGGGGCATTCTCTCGCAGCCCTGGTCACACCATTTGCCCCGTGACGTGGAATTGCTTTGGATACACAAACCGGCACAGTACGGTCAGACTTTTCAATGGGGACCTGCCAAGAAAAACATGCAGTTACGTAATAAGTTTGTATGAGGCACTAGTCATCAGGTCCCTATTTGAATGCCATGCACATCTCTATAGTGTTAAGCGCCGTTCACACATAACCAACCGGGTAAGACCGAAAGAGACAAGGCCGGTTTATAAGCCTCTTGCGACTTCTTATAGACCAGCTCCGCTGCAGCGCATTTACTCCTATGGCGTCACAACAGGCTTAAGAGGATCTAGCAGTAAAATTTCATCTCCGATAGGAACTTTTTCAAAACCCAGATAGCACTGGTGGTGAAGCCTTTTCACTCAACTGCTTACGCGATATGGTTCTACTTCCAAATAAAAATAAAGAAAAAGCTCGACTTTTTGTACCGGTTATCAGCGGACGGGTTGACCCTGAAAGCCCCCCACTTAAAGGGACCATGAAATGACCTTTTTACTTTTGCCAGATAACATTTACATTAAACTGTCAATGTTCACTGAATGCCGAACAGGCATCTGTTTTCGTCTCGGTTTATTAACTTCTACACAAAAATTAATGAAATATCGACTTTTTCTTTCTCTCCAACTGACCGCAAAACAAGCTGCGGCGTAATTTTGACGGTCGTGACGTACTTTGTTTCCGGAACCGGAAGTTTTCTCGGCAGTAGGAGAATGGTAGTTAGCGGCGGCGAGTTGGCGGTGTGCCGGTAGGTTTTACTGCGCTGATGGCGCCGATGTCACCGATGTATTTTCTGAATCGGTGCCTCTTATCGCTGCGATAGCCATGAAAACATCACAGCTGAGCGAGATTCAATTAGATATGTTGCGCTACAGCGACAGTATGGGACTAGTCCCATACGCCCGTATGCCTGTCGGGAAGTGCGGCGAGTCTTCCGGTGGAGACTCCAGCTCTCATTGTTGGTAAAAGGCTGCCCGTGTCAGTCGTCTGCAAAGCGACGTAGATAGAGACAAATGGCCGCGGCGTTTTTCGCGGTCTCGGAGATGCAGGAGCGAGCCGACGTTAAAAAAAGATACGTTTGAAATACGAGAGTATCAGTAAGAGGCACGTAAATACCTGTTCATACCCGGAGCGGACGCGCGCGTTTGATGGAAGGCTGTATTCGAGCTGTTGGTAAGCGCTTCGGGACCGATCTTTTACGATTGCAATTCGATACTGACGCGACACTCGACAAAGGAAGGTTGGACCGGCAACGCACGTAGCTCCCACGAACTGTTATAGCTCGACCGTAACGTGCAGTTTGTCAGAATAAAAATGGCATACTAATAACAAAGTGTACGTACATACCGTGTTACGAAGGTAAACCATACGGCGTTTATTTGAGCACTATATCACACAAAACAAGATGATAGAATCGATGAGAGTCCCTTTTCGACGACAGTGTTCGTCAACACTGCCACTGAGAACAAGGGGAAGAGATTGACCACACCCCTTAATCTAAAATTGAGGTCAGCGATCAAAATATGGGAAGGGTCCACAAGGGTCGCGCAGGTATATTCCATTCAGTACGCAATCCGGTCGTGGGCAGACGGCCGTGGCCAAGTAATGTTGAAAGCAACGCTCCGCCGGAGTTGGAATGCCTGCTTCGGAGTGCCTGCTAGGCCTATCTGCCAAGCTCGCTTGGTCGCGGGTCGGTGAATTCGTGGCCGTTCTGGCTTTTCTCGGGTGTTTGTGGATCCAGCATTCTTGTTCGTCGTGGTCTGTTTCAAGTACTTTTTTCTTGCTGCTTGAAGTCGGGACGCCCGAGAAGAACATGTAGAAAAATAACCGTTCCTTGATTGTCGCCGCCAAGTAAAGGTGTATCCACACGACGGACCGAGCCGCGGACCGACTGATCAGGTGATGGGCGGCCCGCGGGCCGCCCGGCTGCAATGAGCATCCACACAGCGGACCAAAAGAGAAGACGACAGAGTGAACGGGCCGGACTAACCCTTGACCTCACAGCTCCGCCAAACGCATGCAGCGAGTTGCTTTGAGGCTATTTGTAAGGAGCCAAGATGGAGGTTGAACGAAAGAGACGTTGGGCCGCGGTGGCCCTGGCGTTGACTATTGAGGACGAGGAGGACTCAAGTGAACCGAAAAGGGCATGCATCTATTGTCCCACAGAGCGGGAAATTGCTCCACGAGCGCGATGAAGTAAAAAGTTGCATCGTCGCACCATGCCGCCATCGTCGCACAACAAAAGGTTCGTCTTCAACAGTTGGCGCCAAAAGAACACGACTTTGGATTTGTATTCCAATCCAAACAACAAAAGTCAACTCGTTGCCAGACTAAGCACTTCAATTATACTAGAAACGCCGCGGTCCGCCGCCAAGGTCCGGGCGAGAAACGTCGCTTGGCATTTCTCAAGCGTGTTTCACATGCAGCGGTTTTGGCCCTAGAGCGGCGCGATTTCTGCCACCGCGGCGCTCTGGCCAGCACCAGCGGTTGAGCGGCACGAGCGCCACGACGGCAGAAATCGCGCCGCTCTAGGGCCAAAATCGCTGCATGTGTAATACATCTTTTCCTGTTAAATCTGCGTTTATTTACACTATGTACAGTTTAAGCTGAAAAGAAGCTAGCTATTGCTCATGGCGTTTGGAATCAGAATGTATCTGCTATCGCGGGTGCGCGCGTGCTTTTCTTGAGCCTCGTCTTCGTCTTGCTTGACCGCGATATATATCATATCCCCCTTCTTGATTAACATCCAGTACACAGTCTTTAAAGTGTGCTGGCTGCTTGATCTGGCGACCTCCTCGGGTAGTCCTTGAACCGGGGTCTGCCTGGACGTCCGCGTTGTCGTCCACGGTGTCTCTGTCCTGGACGTCCGTATCATTGTCCACGGTGTCTCTGTCCTGGACTTCAGCATTATTGTCCACGGTGCCTCTGTCCTGGACGTCAGCCTTATTGTCCCCGGTGCATCTGTTCTCGGGCTGTGTCATTTGTGACTCGTCTATGTCCTCCGTGGCTGGGTAGATTAAGAATGGCGAAGCTTTTTCTTTGCCCTCTAGAGTTTCCAAGTGTGATCTTCTGGGGCGAATATGATCAACGTGTCGACGCTGAAGTTTTCCGTCCTCCGTTCTTGTTTGAAACGATCGAATACCTAGCGGTTTCATGATTACCGCGGTAACCCATGCTGGTCTTCCACCGAAATTCCTCAGGTAGACGGTTTGGCCTGCCGAGTAATCTGCCGTTACTCTGTTCGTCGGAGCTTCTCGGTCTTCGCTTGTCGACGAGCTTTGATTCATGAGATCGAGAGGTGTGGCGATCCGTCGGCCGAACATTGCTTCGGCGGGTGTTTTCCCCGTGGAGGTTGAAACTGTCGTATGCTGCCTGAACAAAAACCTGGCGATTCTGTACTGGATTGTTCCTTCCTTGAGTTTCAGGAGGGCCTGTTTTGTTTCACCCACCATATGCTCCGCTTCCCCGTTTGTGGCCGGATGATATGGAGCGCTGGTGTAGTGTTTGATGCCGTTTTTCGTTAAGAACTCATCCATTTCGTTCGACACGAAATTTGGTGCGTTGTCGGAGAAAAGGATTCTGGGTACTCCAAAAGTTGCAAAGGTGGAGCGAAGGGCGTCGATGATGCGTGCAGACGTCGTGGAGTGCATCGGCTTCACCTCCAACCACTTCGAGTAAGCGTCGACGACGATGAGGTACGATATCCCGTCGATTGGTCCGGCGAAGTCGATGTGAATTGTCTCCCAGGGTCGAGTGGCAGGTGACCAGTCAGGCGTTGGTACCGTAGACTTGGCCCGACGATGTTGTTGGCACGTCTCACACGCAGCTGCGGTTGCTTCGATGTCTGCGTCAAGCCTCGGCCACCAGAAATGGCTCCGAGCAGTACTTTTCATGGCAACAATACCCGGGTGGTTGGCGTGCAGCATTTTCAAAGCTTGCTCGTGTGCTGCTTTTGGTAGAACAACACGTGCCCCCCGCGTCACACTGCCGTTGTGTGTTGCCAACTCGAGTTCTCTGCGCTTGAACGGTGCGAACTCGTCTCCTGTCCAGTTTGTGGTGGTTTCGTCTTGTAGTCCTTGGTAGACTTTTGACAAAACGGAGTCTTCCTTGGTTAGACGCGCGATGCGTTGACCAGTCAAGGGTGGCCACTCCATTGCTTCGAGCATAAGTACATCTCCTGGTGGTGCGGCTTCGTCCTTCATAATTGG